TACTGTCCCTGCTTTTAGGGAGCGTCAGAGTGAACTTTGTGGCATCTACACACAGACGCTCTCACAAACAAATCCCGACGCCAACAAATATGTTGGTGTCATTTTTTTATTAAATTTGCTGTGTGCATTTTGTCCAAAGCTGTGAGTCCACACAGCCGCACTTCACAGCGCCATGAGAGCCTGTGAGATAATAAAATACAGTCTTTAGTCATTAACATCTAAATGATGAAGGCACTTGAAAAGTAACACAAAAACCTTTTAGAAGTGCTTCAGGTTTGGTGAGGCGCCCAATTGCTGTTTACTCTCCCCCCCGCAGGCTGCTAGACTTCTGATTGGCCAACATTTCTACACGGTTAGGATTCGGCATGTTCTTAACAGCGTTTGACTTCGTTTTTTTATCATTTACACGTGGACAGAATTTTTTTAACGAAAATGGAAAATTTCAGTTTTCAAAAACACTCATGTATGTGTGGACGTAGCCTTAGATAACAGAAATACATCTTTATGGTGTCATTATTTTACTGTAGTTGTTTTTTTCCTGTGTGATAATGTTCAACATTGCTGTCAACACATTTTTCAAAAATGCCTCTCTGTGCAAAATGGGTTCAACAACATAAACGACTGTGAGATACTGTGTGTCCCCAATTTGGGCAGGGGCCACAAATCGTGGCAGCATCACCCTGACATTATGTGTGTCCTCCTGTAACTTTACTGTTGTCATGAAATCAATATCCTTAGTATCCTTATTTTCCTATTATATTGTTTTATGTACTTTAATAAAGGCTTGTAGAGGAAGGCCACCTTTGACTCCCAAACTAAGTGCTCAGCCAGACTGAATAACAGGAAGTTTTAGTGCACAGCCATATTAGATAATATAGATAAAGACACAGAAAAGAGGAACTTTACATATAAGCAATGTTTGAAACTGTGTGACGTCTGAAGTACAGAAATAACACCATATAAGACACATGTGGAGCTAAAAATGTTAGAGCTCTTGCAATTGGCGTTTGAGCTGTGCATCTTCCGGAAGATGATTGAATAAAAAGAAATATCAATATTTTAACACACTATGGGTCGGTTTTCTCTGTTCTGTCATGGGGACAAAAGAATCGGGGTTCAATACTGTATAAAGAGCTCACATCTCCAAAATGTCAGGAGTAGTTAGTCGTTATAAGAATTAAAAATCCAGAGAGTGGATATTGTTTGTCCGTGATTTGGACAGCGCAGCTGCTGCCGATGCACGGGAAATAACTTCTGTCGGGGAGACCTACCTTGGTACCCGCGTGCAGGTGAAGACGAAGTCAGGATACGTCATCATATTTTCTAGTCTTTGACTTTAAGGAAGCTCGTTTTGAAGCATATTTGGTGATGCTTCGTCTTCTGCTTTGTGTTTGTGTGGGAGCCTCGTCAAAAACATGTCCATTGTGCTAGCAGTGTCCAATTCATACTCCGCATTCAAACCCCCCCTGCAATGGACCTGCCCCCCCACTTTGGAAACCACCGAGTTGTACTAACTCACCTGTACCAACTAAATGTTCTCTGACTCCTTTTGTTCAAGTTAAGCCTCTCAGCAGATCAGCTGCACACTGCTCATCACCTCAGGTTGTTAAATTATTTTCCAGTCACTCAAAACCAATTTGCACAATTATTTTTAATAGGTTTTTGTAGGTATTTGCGTGTGTGTGTGTGTGTGTGTGTGTGTGTGTGTGGAGAGAGATTTTTCAGGCCATCCATGTTTGACAAGTGATATGTTTTGTGTGTCAAAGTTTTCTTTCCTTCTGCATACTTTTCCAACTCAGTTAATCTTGGTTTCCCTTCTAGGAAAGATGTTGGATAAAGTGTAATCTGGCCTTCCTGTTACTGATTGTTACCCGTGGTTTACATATTGTTTTAAGCCCTCTGTGTGCCATGATCCTGGGTCTCAGCCCCAGTATTTTGAGCTTGTTCTTTCTCGTACTTCTGACTTGGTTATTTTGTAGTTCTTGGTTTCTTGTCTGGTTACTTCCCTTTCAAACCCAGTCTGTCCCAGTCTGTCTCTGTTTCGTCATCATCTCCTGTCAGTCGTGTCTCCATGTTCCTCAGTCGTGTCACCATGTCTGTCTGCTCTCTGCTTCCTGTCTCCATGCTAGCCAGGGTTACCTGTCTTGCCTACAGAAGTAGGAAGTAACAAAGTACAATTGATTCAGATATCTAAACTTTACTTGAGCATTTTTTTCTGAATACATTTTACTTTTACTCTCTACATTGTTAAACAAACATCTGCACTTTCTACTCCTTACATTTAAACATGCTCATTACTTTTGTGGGTCTGGGTGGAGTTATACCAGCTTGACACAACGAACCCGATGACCACAGCATCGTAGTTTGTTAAATGTCCTTAAATTTACAGTTTTAAAGGTTTCTGCAGCACACACCGCTCCCCCTTCTATCGTGGCAACATCCTTTAAAGAGGAAACATGATTAGATGATGAGGTCAGGTGTGTGAGTCAGCCTCCACCACACCCACTGCTCCCCTGCAGCTGAGCCACAAACCCCACACTTCCCTGTCTACCCACACCACTTCATAGGTGTTTGCCACTTGGTGAGTCAACAGAGTGGAGTCTATCCACTCTGTTGTACAGGTGCTGCTGACTTTGCTGGGCCTGAAGCAAATTTTCTCATGATAACCTTCCCAATGTGTCGCTTTAAAGTCTTATTCAGCCGCTCCACGACCCCCATCAGTCTGAGGGTGGTAGACGCTGGTCCGAACAGATTTAATTCCCAGTAATTCACACAGTTCTTTTAGTGTGCAAGACATGAAAGAATTGTCCTGGTCAGTCAGTATCTCTTTTGGGATGCTGACTCAGCAGATGACCTGAGAAAAACCCAAAGGTTGACTCTGTTCATCTGGATGTTTTCAGTGGGAAAGAACCTGCAGTCAGCTGAGACTGAAAAGTCACCTGGATGAGTGACGAAACGTTTCTCCCACTGAACACGTCCAGATGAACAGAATCAACTGGAGGTGCTACATAAGAAGGCTGTGCCATATCGTCCTCCCCAGTGTCGGGCGACCCCATGTCTCTGCTGAGTGCAGCGCAGAGCTGCACACCAGTCGGGAGCACATCCCCGGCCACTCTGTCCAGAATATGAAGGTGTGTGTCAGCGTGGGCTAACTGCAGCCTTTACTCTGTTTTGCTCTTGTATTTAATTTGCAGCAGCACTTTGGGATGTTTGTGTATTTCCCTATGCAAGCACCTAACCTCCATCCATTCTGCCTCCAATGATGCCCCGGGTCGAACCAGGGTTTGCATGCACCCCGTATCCACCAAGACCTGCCGTATATCGCCTCGGCAACTCACCGGTGTGCTGTATGTGTCACGGGTGTATACTAGAAGGGAAACCCTTTCAAACGGGAAGAGCAGCAAGGGATGATCACGGCATGTGAAACCCAGTTAAAATAGTTAAAAAATAAATACACTTTATTTGCAGCATAAAAATACCCTGATCAGGGAAAACAAAAAACTCAGCACAATAAAAACAAAAAGAGCCTCAGTCAGCGAGCTAAAGTCCCAATCGGGCTCCGCCACACTTCTTGGCCATTAAGGGTCCGCCGAGCGGACCCTTAATGGCCTTAATGGCTAATGCGTTAGACTGAGTTACACCAGCGCTGTTTTAAACCATATTACAAACTGAATCTGGATTACTTTACCTCTGAAGAAATCCTTTAAAACAAAGGCCAGTTCTGTGAGTGTATCACTTCCTGTTTTACTTTGATAGTCTACCGTGTGGCGCGTGATCTTCCAGCTGTATGTTTCCCAGTTAGTTTGCATTGTTACTGTTTTATCTACTCCACCTTTTGTGAGCTAGCTGAGATTTTCAGTTTGCTTCTTTATTGCATTCTGGGTCACATGACCCTTACATGACACTGTACTTCTATTTATGATTGTGTCTTATTTTTCACCTCACAAAGAGCGTTTTTCCTACCGTTCCACTCTTTAGTCGTCCACTTTAGTTATTTTTTTCTGGTTTTTCCTTCTGGTGTTAATGAGCCGTGTAGTGCATACTTTGAACATTTTTAACTTGGTGATTCTCACTGGTATATCTAGATTTTTCAGCTTAATGCTAGCCTTCATTAACATCTCTTTTGAGCCAATATTGAGGCCAATATAAAAATAATTTTTTAGATAAAATTTACGTAGAGGGAAAATCGAGAATAAACGCTCCAGAAGATATTACGCTGTATCTATTGGGATCTTATTTTTCTGTCACTAAACAGTACAGGAAAAACAGAGAAACCCAAGAAACTGACCTGTGCAAAGGTTAACTCGTCATGCAATAATTCACCACAGCTCAGTGCTCTGGCCCCCACCTTTTTTCCATGCCGTCTGTCTCACAGTCTGGTTAACTATTAGTATGAGCTGGATGGATAATATTTTACATTTAAATCTTCATTGCTCAGCAGAATTAAAATGTATTTAAAGGATGGCGAGGTTTGCTTTAGTCTCAGATCGATCTCTGTATGGTGACGTACAAAAGTCCGTCTGACACCAACTGCTGACATTTTCCAGGATCATTGTAGGAACGTTCACTATGACGTCCAAATCCAAGGCTAGTGTTCCAGGTGACAAGGCGTCCTCATCTCTACTTCTGTCGTCTCCACCTTATCAGCGCCTGATCACCAAAGAGGGACGCTGTGCTTTTCGTGTCCCTCTGTCTTCTTCAGGCTCACGGAGAAAGTCTTTGCGCAGAGCGTGGCTGCTGGCCGTGCAGGACCTGTGGGGACTGCTGGTGAATCTTCGCTGGAGATGGACTCTCCTGGCCTTCTGCAGCTCCTTCGTGGCTCACTGGTTGTTTTTTGCCTGTCTCTGGTATTTGTTGGCTCATCTGAATGGAGACCTTGATGTGCAAGATCACGATGCCCCACCACAGGGGCATGTTGTCTGTGTAAAGTACATTACAAGCTTCTCTGCTGCCTTTTCTTTCTCTTTGGAGACACAGCTAACCATCGGTTACGGCACCATGTTCCCCAGTGGAGACTGTCCCAGTGCTATAGCGTTGCTAGCTGTACAGATGCTGCTGGGGCTCATGCTGGAGGTATTTATCACAGGTAAAGCGCTCATCAGTTGTTCTAATTCCAGTTTTAACGTATAAATTGTAAGACAAAAGAGAAGGTAACAGTTTTTTTACTTTGCAAAAAGTAAATGACATTTACAATTTCAGACGATTAGGCCTTTTTTCATGACATCTTGCAATGATTTACTCGTAAAAAAGGGCTTTTTGAAATTTTCCCCATTAATCTGAGTCTATGGTAGCAGTGTCAAATCAATGCCTGTATGCACAAATAGAGCACATCTGAAAGAGGCATGAAAAGAATCAGGACTTTATTTCAAAATTGACGTCATTGTGATTTTATTTATTATTATTTAGTTCATTAAAAACGTTATAAAATTGGTCACTTTGTTAATTTCACTTGCTTTGAGACTTTTGCTGCCTTGCCTTAAATAACAGCAGATCAAATCATCGCATAAGCATGCTTATTTATTCCTGATGATGTCACAGTATGACATATTTGTTCATGAATGATGTCATTGTCTTAACATTCAGGTGCATTTGTAGCCAAGCTCTCCCGCCCCCAGAAACAAGCAGGAGCCATCCAGTTCAGCCCCCAGGCCGCAGTAGGTCAACACCTGGGCCAGACGTGCCTCATGGTCCGAGCCACCAATCTGCTGAAGCGGCCTCTGCTCGATGTAACGTTGAGTGCTGTGCTGTACAAGTGTGAAGGTCAGGCTCTCCACCAGACCTCTCTGGACTTCTATTTGGACCATTTGGGCCAAAAGGCATGTCCTTTGTTCATATTCCCACTCACCTTTTACCACCCCCTGGAGCCTCAGAGCCCGCTCTACCCCGCCCTGTGTGAGGGGTCCCCCACTAACTTTGAGTTGGTGGTTTTTCTGTCGGCCTTGCAGGAGGGTACTGGTGACTCATGCCAGAAGAGGACCTCCTACCTTCGCCAAGAAATCAAATTAAACCACTGCTTTGCCCCTGCTTTCAGGATAGACTCCCGCGGGAGGTACACAGTGAGCACCCAGCACTTAAGCACAGCCCCTTCAAATGAGCCTGTGAACAAAGACTCTGTAGTGCAGATCAACAGTGATGGGATGGAGTAAGGATGCTGAAGGAAAATCTCAAGAGATAGTAATTTTCTTTTTTCTCAGGAGGTATTTCACTGAATCTTGTAAACATTAATATGATTAAGCATAAAAAAAATCAAGTGCATGTCAGACCAGTGTCAGTACTGCTGCAGGCTCCATCACCATCAAGTCTTGGTGCAAAACCTAAGGAAGCGTGTTCCTGAGGTCCGTATGTAAAGATTTTGTACTTGTAGGAAAATATCTGGAAATGTTATGTTTGTGCATCCATACAGGAGAATGTGTGTGTTTGTAAAAATAATTACACAATGTGCTTTTTTATTGTTGTTTAGGTCTGTTTGCTTATACAAAGCGAAACAATAGCTGCGTTCATGTTCCGTGTTTCAACTTGCAAGTGCAAGATTGACTCGATTTTCTTCCTTTCAGCTGATTGGTCAATGTCAGGTCAGTCACAAATGTAACAATCCAATCAGAGAACAGATGGGTTTGACTATCAGGGTTGTGCTTTACTGAGCTTCAGGTTCTGGGAGGGTAATACAGTTTGAAGCTGGATGATGGTGACAGCACTTCTGCGGCGTGACTCACAGCACTGGTCCTGGGTCACCCCTGACTTTGTGTCCATTGGTATACCAATGGTACACTGCTACCACAAGTTAAGGGACGTAGCTGTCGCTGTCCTCCAGCTTCAGGCTGTTTTACCCCTCCGACAGCCGAGCCCATCTGTTCTCTGATTGGACTGTTAAATTAGCTCCCCTTCTGATTATGCCAGTAACTCGGGCATATTACTGGATAGCTCGTTTAAATTTGCCAAGTGTTTGCTGTACTGAGGTCCAGTTTTCATCAGCTGCGCCTCATTTCAAAGGCTAAGCGCTATATGCCGCATAAAGATCTGGAGAAACGTATTCACGCATTCGTGACTCCCAGGTTGGACTACTGCAACTCTCTTTACATTGGCCTTTCCTCCTCCCTTCTCCTTGGATTGCAGACTGTCCAGAATGCGGCGGCACGCCTTTCGACGGGTAGCAGGAAATTTCCTCCATCACTCCTGTTCTTGCTGGCTTGCACTGGCTGCCAGTTAAGTACCGTATTCAATTTAAAATACTACTCTTCATGTCCAAAATTATCAGTAATTTGGTGCCGAACTACCTCAATGAGCTTCTTAGGTCACACACTCCTGTCAGAGCACTTAGATCTGCTACCCAACTTCTTCTGGAACCTCGCTCTCGGCTGACCGTGCGTTTGCTGATGTCATTATCATTTAAAGCCAAAGTGATGTGGCACCATATAAATAATACTGAACTGAATACATCACCACAAGCCATAAATGAAAGTGTTACACCTACAAGCAGCTAGAAGCACAAAGAACAAGTGTGTTGGTTTCCCACACAGTTATCTCTGCAGCACGAGTGCAACACTAGCAGAATGTATCAGCACATTTTCACTGAAGATGTGAAGTTTAATGTAAAAAAGGGGAAACAAAGATAAATAATATGCTAATTTTACTTTGAGAGCAATTAAAAAACGTAGAAATCAAAGTAGAAAACTGTATTTTTAACTGTGTATGGTTATAAATGAATGTCTCCAAAATAACGGTATAAAACAAGCATCTGTGTACAGTACTGTGCAGAAGTGTTGAGCACTGATACTGAGTCATATTTTTAAAGTGGTCTTGAGCAATAGTTTCCAGGTTTTATTTCCCAGTATATCTTTGAATACTGGCTGCTTGTTCATGTTTTCCAGTCCAGTCCCTGTAGCTGAGCTATTTCACAGGAAAGCGTTTTTAATCCATTTAACACTAATCTGTAACTCTGTTAATCATAAAAGGCACCTAAGTCAAGGAATGAACTGGAGTTGTATCAACACACAACTCAGAAAAGAACCAGTTTTAAATGATAACTTTAGGCACTGCTAACAGCCTGCTGCAAAAACAAGTCGTTTGTTCCTCTTCCTTTAGTAAATCTAAGACAAATGCCAGGTTAACACAGTTTGACAGACATAAAATAATACTTCTGTAACAGAAAAGAGCTATTAGCCAAAAACCCGACATAGCTCACCATGGTTGTGATTTAAGGACACATGGAGTGTCACCTGGACATCACCGGCAACAGCTTTATTTAGCATGGCAGTATTGAGGAAGAAAAGCCCAGCATGCAGATGCATGTAGACAGATATAACACAATGCACAATCTTCATTTAGGCTGAAAGCAAAGTGCAGACACTCAGAATCCATGAAAAGGAAACAGCAAACGAAATGCTTTGATGTAGAGGACACAGGGGAAATAACACTATGACAAAAACAAGGACAAAGGAAGGACTGAGTCTATAAATAAAGATACATTAAAACATGTCAAAGTAAAGTGATCTTTCTCCTTTCACCTCGGACGGCTCGGTCATGCGGCTCCTCACCAGTTTGCATCCATCCATACATTACTGCACCAACTGCTGTAGTCAACACTCAACTTCAGCTGCCATACAGTTCAACCTGCCACTGGCTCTGCTCTCAGTTTCTCTGAGATTAGTTACAATTTGCACTTTTATGGAAACAAAAGTATCAAAAGCTTCAGCAAAGAGTTATTATATAGGGAAGTGTGACAACAACAGAGAGGCCTGGTCTAATCAAACAGGAAACATCTTTGAGAAACTTTTTAAAAACTATTGTTTTCCAACTCTCCTTATTTTATTTTTTTTCATTAATATTTTTAGCCACTGACAGTTAACCATGTAACACACTGCTTGAGTCTTTCAATTCAGTTGCTTTTTGGTATTAATATGTTTTAAAATACATTTTAAAAATAAAGATGTAGGCTGTGTTTCTGTGTTGATACATTATATTGCCAAAAGTATTCATTCACCCTCCAAAATTATTGATTTCATGCGCTCCAATCACTCCCGTGGCAACAAGTGTATCAAATCAAACACCTAATCTGCTTCTACAGATACTTGTGAAAGAAATGGGTCGCTCAGTGAATTCCACAGATGGGCGCACCACCGTTTGTCAGGATGACAAGTTTATTTTCAGTGTCTGAGTGTTCAGAGCTCATCTCGGTTCATGCTCATTTTGAGAGGACGTGTAGGAATCTTTATTAGTCCTTTATTTATCCAGGTAAAAACAAATCTCATTGAGATTAAAAATCTCATTTCCAAGAGAGACCTGGTAAAATACACATACCACATAATGTTGTGAAATAAAGGTTACATAAAAACAGGGATGGAGCGACCAAAAACGTAAAAATTAGAGCTGCCAGCGTTAGAATGACGTTAGCGCCTACACGCATTAACGCGGCAAATGTCTGTTAGCGAGATCATCGCGAGATCATAGCGCGGATCGCCCCGTGCGTGTGGCTGGACGTGGTTAGCTCATTAACGTGTAGCACGGTTAGCCGTGCAGCCCCACGCAGGGCGATCCGTGCTAACTCGCTAATGCAGATTTGCCCGTTAATGTGGTTATGGCGTGAACATCATTTAACAAGATTAACGCTGACAGCTCTGGTAAAAATCTATTAAAAATGAACATTAGAAAACAACTCCTACCTCAAGTTTATACATTCATGTTTATTTTCCCAAATGTAAAGTACTCTCACTGATAACTATGCACTGCTGCAATTTCTTCTTCCAAACATGTCCAACATTACTGAATGTCAGCCGTACACCTGATATTTCATCTAGACTCACACTGAACTCTGTAACATAATATATGAACATTTATCAACTTATTTCATTTGTAACAGCAGTTTCACATGAACACATGATGTCTCCTTCCTTCAACTTCTCATCTTCTCTCTCTAATACAATCAGCAGTGAAGGGGAAAGAGATTATTAACTTTGTCAGTCTGACAGGTTTGCTGTATGGTAGAAAAAGGACTTCCTGAAACAGTGAGTTTATTAACAGCAGAAAAACAAGGTGCAAAAAGCAAAACACAATTTCCCAGTGTTGATAGTCCCAGAATAGCACTTTATTGTCATTGTACATGTGCAGCAAAGTTGTGGGTTCTCCACACCGACTGTGCCAGGAAATAGTGGCCCACAGGACTAAAGAAAAAACAGGAGAAATACACACAATCAAGAGGAATGTAGACAAAACAAGAGAAACAAATACTAAAAATAAAACAAAGTCGTGTGGGAGGGGCTTGAATGATGGGAGTCAAGCTGGGCTCACACTGTGCGGCTTTTTCAGTGGCGCGATTCAGCTCCTGCTCAAACTGCACGATTGACTCGCAGAGGTTAGAAGTTCGTAGGTCACGATGCAGGTCTCACACTATACGACCTGATGCTCTGATGTGACCCGAGTGCTCACACTGTGCGTCCATAAAAATGAAGTTATAACAAAATCTGTCGCTCGCTCTCCCTCTCTGTCTTTCACTCACAGACACGCCACCACCGTCAGCTTTGCTAAATTGCTAATGAAAAACAATGCAGGCAGCTGTGATTGAGCAGCAGTGTAGATCCAACTATTTTCATGCTTGTTGTGGTCGTGATGATTTTGTGAGGCCACATCGAAAAGGCTCGGATGAGCTTTCCAAAGTTCTACAAGTGCCTCCATCGCTTGTGTCCAGATTACACGCTGCACCGCCCTGCTGCTCCGGCTTTTTCACCGACATTTATCCCATACGGTAAAAAAATATATTTTGAAATATATTTCAAAAAATCCAAAAAATGGCCAAAAATTATATGCGCTAAAATACATTTTAAAATATATTTATATATTTTGTGTCAGAGACTGCACGCTTGAAGTACGCATTTTGAGTGCGATTACGTCACCGCCACGCGACGACGGCTGTCCCAATTCGAAGTGTACTTCAAATGCGTACTCCAAATGCGCCGTCGATTTCCCCAAATATCAAGCGTGGTCTGGTGCACGCTTCGTGGTCCCATATATCCCACAATTCATAGCGCGGCGGTGGGTGTGGATTAGTGATGGTAAATTTGATTCTTTTTACTGAATTGAGTTTTAATGAGTCACTCACCAAAGTGAATCTGTTTTTTTGAGTCATTTGACTCACTGAGTCAGTTGACCAGAGAGTGCAAAAAATTTACATGTTCACTCAAACTTAATTTGTTTCTCTTTTCATGTAAATGCTACTGCTAAGATGAATGATTCTAAAAGAAAGAGCAAAGCGCAAAAACATTTCTAAAATTAAGCAATTTCCTATCAAAATTGCTTAATAAACATTTATTTTGTTTATTTTTATTTTATTAGTATTTTCCTTAATTGTGTCAAATATATATTTTCTTATCTAAATGTCCACTGAGCTGTGAGCCAGGGGGCGGTAATGCGGTAAAACCAAGAAGAAGAAGAAGTTGTGAGCCAGGAGGGAGGGGGTGAGTGAGTAGCGGTGTCCCAAAACGTCGGCGGCATCCTTCGGAGGACCCGGCTTTCGTGGTTTACGT